TCCTAAAGAGATCAGGTACAAAGAAGGATTAAATTAGCAATTATATAGCTCCCATTTTTGTTCCAACTAAGATTGGCTCATGTTGTCAAGCATAAATCTTGTGGGCCATATGTCTGCCTGAACTATTTGAGTTATGTTTGGCAAGTATTATTTGTATGTATGTTGTGTTTCTGGAAATTATAAGATTCTTATAACTCTACGGCTACTTCAGTTTTTCTGCATCATTGTCTTACTTCCTATTGCAAGGTGTCATGTTTGCAATTTCAGAAAACTGGGCAAGAGAAGCTCGAGAAGCAGTCTGGCAAGGTATGCTCACAGTGTACATTTTACCCGTTTTTTGTTTTTTTTTTCCTTTTTGCAGTTTCTGGTCAGAGTCGTTGCTTTATTTATAGGTTAAATGGTGGAAGTTTTAGTTGAGTTTGATTATTGTTTTGATAGTGGATCATTTTTTTACAGGTTAAACAATGGAGATGACTTTTTTGTTGAAGCATTATGTCAAGATGGAAGGATTTACTTCACCATTGCACTTAGACGTTTTGGAGATGACTTCTCTGTTTTCTTTACTTGTTTTGAATGTTAAGGTTTTGGACATTGTATGAATTATGTTGTAGACGTAATTTTATTGACAACTTGGTAGATATTGATAACAATTGATATGTTGAATGTTTTTATGTTTTAATTTGAATGTTCCTATTTAGATATATCACATATCTTGGAATTACCATTTATTTGAATGAAATCAAAAGGATATTAATAATAATTTTAAAAAGTTATAACAGTATGAACATAACAAGGAAAAAAGTTATTAATCTGTATCGTAGCTATGCTAAAGAGTTATAAGAGGATGAAAATAACTTTTTTTACACGCTATAATACTTCAATTCTATAGCGCTTTTTATAACTCTCCTGAAACGCTATGTTTTCTTAGGATCTATAATAGCGCCTGTTGTCCTAGCGCTCTAAAAAGCGCTATTGATAGTGATTAATAGCATTTTTCGTCAGCTACGAAAGGCCTTTTGTGGTGTAGTGATCATAAAAAAAATTTATTTGTTACTTTATTTGGTACACAATTTCTTAAAAATTTTATAAAAAGCTTCATAAATATAAATTAATTACTTTGGTTCTATTCGTCGTCACTACAAATGTCTTTAACATCATCGACACTTTCTACATTGTCATCATCTTCAAAATCGATGAGCTCATCTTCGATATACTCAAAAATAGTTTTATCATCACCATCATCAATAAAGTCATCTTTATCTTCAACAGGCAACTTGTCCCGCAAGTATGCGTCGACGTCAGATGTGACAGTATTTGCTTCGATATCAGGCCGATCAAATGTTAAGTTGTCCAGTTCAGGTAGTTCAACTACTAACTCAACATTTCGTGATTCTCTATCTTGAACTATTGTGACCTCATCGACGTCCTCTTCTGGAAAATCCCATATATGTCGATGCCCAAAATGTTCCACAACTTTCTAATTCAGACCATTAAATAAATCATCAACGTAAAAAATCTGTTCCGCCTGGGAAGATAGAATGAAAAGTTCATTCTCATAAACAAATCCTTAACGATGATACTTATTCTATTCTTGTATTGTTGAATTCTTCTTCTTTCTGTCTGAGTGTCGAACCACTTACACTTGAAAAGGAAGACTGAATTGCTGTTAATGTATAGTAATTCATAAATCTCTTTCAAAACTCTGTAGAAAACCTAATTATTTGCCCCGCAGACATAAATGCCACTATTCTGAGTGGTCCGGTCCTTGTCACGGTTGTATGTTAAAAATTTCACTCCATTGACTACACAACTAGAATAAGATCGAATAGAGAATCTTAAATTAGATGATAGTGAAAACAATTGATCGGTGGCTTCGAGAATGTTATGTTGTTGGGCTCTCACTAAATCTAAAATTCTTAATGTTCTGGAACATATCAACTAAAGAAATTACTCAGTTCTGTTATTGCATCAACAATTTCATATTTCATGAACGGGCGATTCCCAGTCGATAACAATCATTGTATTATAACATTACAGTCGTGTGATTTTAACCCACTGATCTTTGTATTCCCATTAGTTATATCTCTTTTTTAAATTCGAGGCAAATCCATCGAGAAATCGAATAGACTTTAAAAATTCACAGTTTATCTGCTTATTAGTTTTGCTTAACATGTAGGCTGCAGGTGATTTTATCCATTGATCACCATCTTTGTATAAATGTAACTATTTATGAATCCTCATATTCTACAAATTGATCCTCGCCTTGTCTGTGTCCTTACTTTTTCCACCGATACTAAGAATAGTACCCAACAAGCTGTCACATACATTTTTTTATATACATGACATCTAAGTTATGACGAGTTGATAATGAAGTTGTTGATACCCAAAATTTTACAAGATATCAGCCCGGCCCAAATTGAATAAATGTAACTCTAGGTATGGTGCGTGGACCTAAGCCACGTTCAGGGACTTCTATGTGGGCCGTGGTTTGGCAGGTCAAGGAATGTGACCGGACCTATTTTATCTGGCCCAATTAGATCCTTGGCCCACTTGGGGTAGTCTTGGGTCTATGAGGGAATTAGGATAATGTGGGTTATGGAGGAAATTAGATAGAGTAAAACCGATAGACAGTCCAGGAGAAAAACCTATTAGCCCACTACCTCGCACTGAGACACAAAGCAACATTTCTCCACGTCTTTCTTTTCCTTTTCTTCGTCCAACTTCTGCCTTCTCAGCACAAGGCAGTCCATTCCTGAAAAACACAGTGAAAGGCCATAATACATATGAATGAGAGGGGAGAATCTCTGTCCATCCCACTACCACGCCCTGACCTCACCACGAAGCCACGTCTGGCTGCCACTTCCTGACCTCAACCAAAATGGCCATGAAGCCACGTCTAGCTGCCACTCCCTGACCTCACCCAAAATGGCCACGAAGCCATGTCTGGCTGCCCAGCGACCTATTACATTCCCTTCTGGGGTAAACATTCTCCTGGGAGCATCGAAAGCTGCCCCTGAATCCTACTGGAAATGTCTTACCGACGGGGACCACTGGGGGGTTTCAGCCAATATCCAAAACAGCTGGCGGGAAAACTTCCCTCCCTTTTTTTTTTACCACAAACCTGGCCTATAAATACCATTGCCCAAACCTATCAAAAAACACAACAAGATACACGGGAAAAGAGGGAGAAGGGCAGATTAAAGTATTCTATTCTAACTCTGATTTTCTGGTTTCTATCAGAGCGACCGACGGAGAATCATATTCTCCATAACTTCTGGCGGAGTCCCTGTAGAACAAGTTTCTAGGCGTTCTCCCCATTGGAAGTGGTAACAAAAGCTCCTGAAACACCAAAAGCCCTTAACCACAGCCCAACACCTCGAGATTGACTGTTTCACTCCCTTCACACACTACGTCCGTCGGGATCTTTTATTCGCAAACAGAGAAATATAACTCCATTACCTACTTAGAAACCTCCTCCATAAACTGGTCACGTTCCTCTCCCGCACTATACGCTCACTGGGAGATCCCCATCGAAAATTCCTCAACCACACGGAGCTGAAGCCGCAACGGGTGTCGCCCTCGGATACTGTCTTCCTTGAGGACAGCCGGGTTTAGCCTACCTCAGCCGGGGCCAACCTCATCATCCCAGCCACCGTCGATGCCAGGAGGGACCCTCAGCAGCTCTCCGACCACTAAAACGTTAGTTACTTTTTAGACTAAAGTTATACATATTTCAAGTCATCCTTAAAAAACTTTTAAACAAATTTATTAAAGTCATTTGATGAATAAACGTTTAGTAAAGTTTGATTCCATTTCGTAATGGAGAACATACATACAATAGAAAATTAATATTTAATTTCATAACCTCAATCTAGTCCACTAAAACGTTAGTGGTAGTTTGAAGATAAAACGAATAAGTTAGCACTATACTTTTGTCATTACCCTTTTGTCCGGTATCTAAGGTAAGGTTTCTTCATTTTATATCACTAATATTTCTTACTACAAACTTCAGAATACAAGAATATTCTTACATACTAGTCATATATTGTTTGTATACAAACATAATGGTCCTGTAAATTTGTTTTACTGGAAAATATCATTCGAGAAGCACGCATCAGGTTTACAAATTAAAGGACATATGAACAAAAAAAATTGATTACTTTACATTAAAAAAAAAAACAAAAGAAAAGAAAAAGAAAACTCACGTATGAGCATTAGTGGATATAGCAAGTGCACTAAAGGCTGATTTGTACTAGGGACTACACAACTTTGGATTGTTTTCGAATTGATGTCAGCAAAAGGACGGAGCCACATGGTTGAGATGCGCTCTCTCCAACATCACGACAAATTGATGGCATAAATTGACTTATGTCTCGAGTAAAATATATTTACAAAATACTTTATAAAATTTCAACTCGGGTCGGACTAATTCTAAATTTTTTGAGCTTACAACTAGAGAGATTTTCTTTCAAGGTCTGATAGTCTAAACTTACACCTTTAATGTCAAAATAGCTTTTTCTTAAATGGATCCTACTTATATATTCTTAATATCTTAAGTCTGACATCTGAACCAGTCCATCACATGTAACTTTTTTCATGTTTCCGTGTAACATCGTTCGTGTTTATAACACTCAATTTACTTAAGTGTAATATTCAAAAAACGTAACTGAACACAAGTAATATTGAGTGCTACACTTGAGCAAACTAAGTATTGTATATGCACACAAACAATTTTATACGATAATATTAAAAAAAATGTTATACTTGCTGGATTGCTTGGTTGCCTGATGCCTATATTCTTATTCATATTAACAGAGGTGTAAGTTCAGACCGCTTGGTCTGAAGGAAAATTTCCAACCAGTCTGCCCCGCCCTAAAAGATAGAGTAGTGTTAGGAATAATGTCCTTAAAGCATGAGATATAATAATAATGTTTACTATTTAATTAATAAAATATTTATTCATTATATATGTGCATGTATTATTGAATACTTTATGAATATCATTGAAAATTTCGTGATTATTTATGTGACCTTAAATATTGTATTTAGGTATTATATACGAGAGGATAATATTTAAGGATAATAATCAAAATAATGTTCGTAATGAATTTAATTAAAGTTACGAAATCTTTATTTAAAACATTACTAGTACATGTTGTTGACGGTCGATTTCGTCAACAAGACCGCACCGGATTACCCCGCGGTGGCCCGTTGGGTTACTGGTTTAAAATTTATAATTTAACTGAATAGGCTAGAGTTTGTATTGATGTTTTGGATGTGTTGTGAATAAAGTATGATAGTGCTTACGAAAGTAAAAACGCACATGAATTTTATAGCGGTTCACCCTTATGGAAAAAGAGCTACATCCACTGTATTGTCTTTCTCTTACTTGTTCCTTACAGGTTACAAAAAACCAAAGAAAAAATATATATCTCTCCCTTGTCTCTCGGGGACTTTGCCCCCTTTTATAGCTTATAAGTTATCTCTGAAGCTCATCTAACGGTGGACTGCGTTTAGGGCTTTTTGACGGTTCCTTCCAAATGGCCCATCCACTCGAGTGAGCTAATATCTCATCTGTCCAGACCGTAGCCTGTTAGCGTCTTTTGGACTGTTCACTCATCTAATTTGTCCCCCCATTACGACTCTGTACATCCTCTGTAATATCTATTGATCCATTCC